TTCTCATTAATCTGAGGGTTAAGAATTTCTGTTTGACTCTTCTGACAAAATATGATGCTTCCACAAAATAGGATGTCTTTTACACTCATCTCCATGGAAAGGTCCCAAGGAAATACATATAAGAAACAAACCCACCTTTTTGACACTGATGGCAACAGCTTCTTTTTGACAGTAATCATCTGCAGAAAGGTCACTTCCAAATTTGTACTCTGGATGTGCTTCTTCTTCCTGGTCAGCTGCACAGAAAAAAAAATAAAAAAGCAAGATCAGTGAAAAAAAACAGTTGCTTATTTTTTTCTGTATGTTTGTGTGCGTGTGTGAGCTGAAACAAATGACAGCCAAACGCACAGATTTGGTTTGGGAGATTCTTAAATGGAAAGATAACCCAGGGCATTAGGTTTCCAAGGATCGGTAGCAAATTACAGCAAAGACCTGAGATTCTTAGGGCTTGGCATGGTTAGCAAGGGAGACTTTATTTAGGATTCCTTAATATGCTTAGCAAAGAAGCACAGAATTGGGAAAATAAAAAAGAAATGATGATGGGTTCTTTACATAAAGATACAAAATGTCACTGGTTTCCAGGCTTCTAATGTGTACTTTTAGAGTTTCCTCACACACCCATGTTATGGAAGATCCTTTAGAATTTATTAAGATGAATTTCCATGAGAAATTACACACCCATGTTATGGAAGATCCTTTAAATTTATTAAGATCAATTTCCATGAGAGCTCTCAAATAAGACAATAAGACTTTTAACAAAAACAAAATAATTAAGAGTATGATTTATTTGGCTTTAAATAATTTCAGAAAATACTTATTTGAGCCTCTTGGTACTCTAGCATGTAACTAGTAACACAAGACTGTAACAACACTGTTAGAAGTATTCATTCAAGTGGGACTTGGCCTGCTAAATAGCATGTCCTCTGTGCTCCTGGGTCATCTGAAGAAAGATACTAAGAGGCCCTTCCAAAAAAACCCTTCCGTTTTTTCGTTATTGCAAGGATGGACAGCAGATTTGCATCATAAAGATCATCTATCCTGAGAACTGCCACTGACTGCAATGGCAACGACTTTGCAATATGAAGAAATCAAGGACCAGAGGGTAGGCTACAGTTCAGGCAATCAGTATGAAATGTGTCACAGTCCAGCATCGTGGAACAGAGACTTGCAGGTACTGCATGATTTACCTCCTCTGAAGGTGGCCATCTAAACCAGGCCATATGAATCACTCCTAGAAATGTCTACTTTCTTCTGTTGCCCATAAACACATTCCACATCACTGGCTCAGATCTAGATGTTTACACCAATGGTGTCTTAAGCTTGGCACAAAAAAATCCTAACCCTGATGTTATCCATACAGAGTATAATGCAACAGTCCAATCTGATGTTGACACAAGCATTAAAAATAGTGACAAAAATCTGTTTCCAAAGCAAATACCAGAACCTCCCAGTCACGTACTCACATATATACACAGTGAAAATCTTACTGGATTGGTGCTACAAAACAATTTCTAAAACAAATTGTTAAAAATTAGCACTCAGACAACCTGAGCTGTGTTCAAAGCTGAAGATGCCAACCACAGGCTGGCACATTGTCAGCAGCCGCTGGAGATCTGTATAAATGGTCCTGCACCGAGCCTGGAGTTAGCTCTGCCACCACAGAGCACACGTGGGTAGCTGCTGATGCTGACCCACTGTTTTACAACACCCAGGGTTCTGAGAGACATTCTCTGTGAAATCCTTACCACTTTCTATTTCTTCTTCATTGTCATCCTCTAGGATATTTACAGGGGCAGCCGTTTCGCCAGCCTCCATCATCTTTTTCAGAGCATCGAGCTGTTCTGTTTATAAGAAAAATTAATTAGATATATCATAAACAGTTTGTAGCAAAATGAAATATACGAAAACAACCATAAATGACTCTCTGATTTCGAGATCTAGTTTTACTTTATGGAAACTCCAAGATTAAGTTTTCAGTTAGCATTAAATCTATGCAGAATAAGAGCATCATTAAACACGGACTGTTGCTAGTTCTGAAAAGTTGTCAAGAGCTGTATCCAAAGCTTATTGAAAAACTGAAAGTACCTCCACAGACTTCAAAGCCCTTTGGAGCTCATATATTATTTCTCCAAAGAATAAGGAGACAGCCACCTCTTCTGTGAATGATCTATGCACCATATTCAAATGGAGGCAGAGAGCTTGCATTTTCAATTGTGTGCCTGTGTGCATTTCAGTTTGACAGCACGAACACCATCAGTATAACACTGAAGTCAGTAAACGGTCTGCATGGTTATCTTTGGCAGGAGAAGGACCAGGGTTTATCACTATGGCTATACTGGAAACTAGGATAACAACATTATTATTATTACTGAAAGAAGATAAATATCAGAACTGGCAATAATAGCGAGAAGAGCAAATTGAAATTCCATTTCATTTTTTGCTTATCCTGGAAAAACACAGCAATGTAAACATACCACCATGGGCAGAATTTACAAGAGATTGTATCTCAGTTATATTTTAGCTTGAACGGCAATCTGATAAAGTTTGAGGATTACATTTCTAGGTCTATCTATGCTACATGCTAACATCACGACCTAGACTCTAGGATTCATACAAAATGCAAGGACAAACAAAGTGTCATTTACACACAGTTTATAAGACATACTGTTCAAGACCGAAAGGCAAGTAACTTGAAACGTTCAGTAACATAAAGCCCATTCGTCTTAAGTCTGAACTTTTGTTTAATTTAATACTTGACACACTTTACTTACTTTTTTCTACTTCAGGCTTCAGCCTTTTATTCTTTATAAGAATCTTTCTTCTGAGGTCATTAGGAGAAGGTAAGGCTTTGCCTGTATCAAGCTGTAAAAAAATTAATAAAAATGATAAATAACAGCTATGGGATCTCTCTGTAACCGTTTTGGACTTCGACTTTAGGACAGCAATGGTATTGGGCAGTGAGCAATCAGTGCCACCTCAGGCACAGCCCTGAAGGGCAGTGTCACAGGAGTAATGCCATGTCCTCTGTTCTTCCCTATCTCACAGGAAAGCTCTGTTCAGCTGAAATAAGCTCTCCAGCCTACGCCATCCTCAGCTGCAGGGACTAAAATGTTTTCTGTTGCCTCCTGCAATGGGCATGGATGTGGCCTGCAGCTCTTCATCAGAGGGCTTCTTACTCTCCCTCTCACCCTGCACACAGTCCAAGTCACAGTTCAGCCTTTTATGAGTTGATCTCTAAATAACTCACCTTTTATGGTCCCTTCAAGCTGTAATAATGCAAGCAAGAGAGCCCACACATACTGACAGAGTACTTTACAGAGTAAAAATGGGCTGGCACTGGTGAATGGAAAACGCTACCCAGTTCTTAGTTAAGTACTGAGGGCTTTTTTTTTCCTCTGGGAGGGGCACAAGGTCATGCCTTCAGCATTTGTGAAAGGCACAAAATGGCAAATATCACATACAAAGTAAGTATTAGTTAAAAGTTTGTTCCAATTCGGGGAAGAAGAAAAAACATTACTGAAAAAAAAAGAAAAAAAGTACAAAACCCTGTGAGTTAAGCTTCATCACATCAGTCTGAGGCTTAGAAACAGATCTTTGGGTACTGTGTGTAGTACACTCTCCACCTGAGGCCTGCTAAGGTATCGTAGAAAGGTATTGCTATAATAGAATACAGATCCTAGTAGAAGGATAAGCAATATGGAACTAGGAGATATTGACTGGGCTAGTAAAAATTATTAGAATAAACATTCAGATATTCTTATCCTTAAATCCAACTCTCTGAGCTAGGCAGAAGGATAATTCTGGAGGAAAAAAATGATGAAGCAACCACTGCAACCTGAAACCCAAGCACAAGAAGCAGAAACAACAAATACCAACCAAGTCCCCTCACCTCACAAAACCCCCCAAACAAAAACACAATCAAAAAGAGGTCCCAACACAATAATGGGTGCATATCTCTCTGCAGAAGGGTGTTAATTATGTATTGCCACCAGGCGAGCTCGGTTGTGGAGGCTGCAGCTCCCTCACTGACCACAGCGTGCCCTGAGCAACCCGCGCTCTCCTGTGCTGTAGTTCCACTAGATGTCAGTGCCGCAGAGATCATTTATCCCTAGGCCTCCGGGATGCCAGTGAGCACCCCCAAGCATAGTGTAGAGCTAGATGCCTGTTTGGACAAATATTTGCTTTCATTTTTAAAACACAAATCTGCTTCATGCAATGTCACGTCTCTCTTCAGGTCTGTTGTCCCCAGCCTGTCGAGGCACCAGCAAACAATGGAATGTGGCTGGAATAGATGGTCCGGGTCTCCAGGGATGCAGCTTTACTTTGCTGGCAGCTGGGGACTAAATGGAACCTTGAGGGGAAATAGAGACCAAATGCAGAAGGGAGTGCAGGCAGCTGAAGCTAAAGACTGAAGCCTGAGGTAGCAGCACTGTAGCCTTTGGCTGGCTGTTTCAGGCTTGCCTAAAGCTGCTGCATTTAAGAGAAGAAGAGAATAAGTGAAGAGCACAGCACTGTATTGCAGACTTCAGAGGGGACCACGACATTTTTTTTCTCTGGGTTTTAACTTTTAGCGTGACAACCTGGTTTTCTACCAGTCTTAAGTGTTGCTGTCCCTGTCACATTCAAGAGAAGGCAAGAAAAGCACAGCCCTGAAGATGCTGATGACAGGAGCCTCTTTGAAGGGGCTCGCAGGGTCAGAAGTTGGGAAGTCAGGAATAGTCCGCTTTGCCACGGTGTCCCACAACACTGAGGAGCAGCTTATTCACTGTTTTGGCTGCTGCTGGCATAGGAAGCAAGCAAACTGTTCACACAGGACTAAGGAAAGCCTGGAGACGTAGCTGCAAACACCAGGTAACAAGATATTAAGCCTCAAATATTGTGCTTATGAAGTAGCATCTGTTGTTATCTCCTGCCATGCAGGAGAGTGAAGTGCATGCAGATTATAGTGCACTTGATGGCCTAAGTGAGACTGCAGGGAACACTTTCTGCTTAATTTATTTCTTAATGAAATAATGGGGGCTACCCGGCCTGCAGAGCCTGATCTTGAGTGTGAGGCATGCAAAGTGCAGCTGAAACAAGAGGTACTGCATCCTTCTCAGATCAGACCATGCAATTTGTAATTAATTGTTTGCCATCGGTGACCAGCAATTTCAGAGTTACATATGCCCAACAAATAAACTGTATGTGGTGTATTTTATATAGGGGTTGATATTATGTCACTCATCAAGGGGTTGGAGTTCCCCAAGGCTGCTCACCCAAGCCCTGTACAGAAAAGATTAATCACCAGATAAGGACAAGTTTGTATCAGAAAATGCAGACATCCCAAATTGCTACTCAATTTTGAAAGCACAGGATTGGAGTTGAAGAG